GACAGTGTCATTCTGTTTACAAACTTTTGCTTTCTTTTTGCAAATATTACTTTTAAAAATGTTTATTAACATTTATATTTACTGAGTTAACAAATAATTTAAAGTTTCTTGTTCTGATTTCTACTGTGGTAAATATTGATAGATATAACTCCCCTAAATGAAAGCTCTTTGAGGTACTCATTAATTTTTAAGAATGTGTAAGGGTTCTGAGATGAGAGAGTTTGAGCTCTCCTATCTTAGAGTATTAGGCAGATTCGGGAGAGTATAAGAGTAGCTTGGAAAAGATGATACATCTGAGAAGGAAACTAGAGGGCTCGTGGTCTCAGCAACGTAACGTTTGGAGACTGAACATGAAATTTTGGTTTTATCAGAGACAGATTACTAGAGAGGTGTGTGAGGCAGTGATATGTAATGTGTAATAGGCTCTAACTTTGCAGCTAAATTAACCCAGGTTCAGATCCCAGCTCTGCTACTTAACCAAGTGTGACCTTGAGCAAGTTATTTAAACCCTAGGTCTCAGTTCCTTCAACTGAAATAAAATGAGGATAGCATCTACCTCAGCAGGTTACTATGAAAATTAAATTGAGATAATCAGGTAAACTACTGCTCTGTGAGTGAAAGCACAGACTTTTGGATTGGTCTTGGTTGAAAAATACAGTTACGGCACTAGTATATCTGACCTCAGGCGAGTTACTCATTCTCTGGACCTCTTTCTTTATGTAAGGAGAATGCTATTTGGTTGGCCAAAAAGTTTGTTTGATTTTACATAAAAAGGCACATTTTTCATTTCCACCAATAACTATTGAATAATGTATTGTTTTGTTTCACTGCCATCTTTCAGTCAACTTCATAATTCCATCTTCTCAAAAGTTTTTATCTTTTTGAGCAAAAAACTGTTCTAGGTGCTTTCTGTAGTCTTCAGGGGATTGAAATTTTTTCCATTAAGGGAATTTTATAGAGACTGAAATCAATGGAAATCCGAAGGTGCATTGCCTGGGAATATGGTGGAAGAATCAGAACTTCCCAGCCACGCTGTCACATTTTTTCCTGGTCATCCAAAAACGTGGATCTTGCGTTATCCTGATGGACGATTATGCGTTTTCTGTTGACTAATTCTGGATGCTTTTCGTTGAGTGTTGCTTTCAGGTGAGCTAATTGGGAGCAGTAGTTGTTGGAATTAATCATCTGGTTTTCCAGAAGCAGCTCATCATAGAAGACTCCCTTTTGATCCTGCCATATACACCACATCACCTTCTTCCGGTGAAGACCAGCTTTTGATGTGGTTGGACGTGGTTCATTTCGCTTGCCCCACCATCTCTTTGTTCCACATTATTGCAAAGTGTCACCACTTTTCATCGCCCATCACAATTTGTTTTAAAAACGAAATGTTTTTGTTACATTTAAGTAGCAAGTTGCATGTAGAAATACAGTTAAGGGTTTCTTTTGCTTATGTGGAACCCAAATATCAAAGCAATTAACATAGTCAAGGTGTAGTAAGTGATTTTCAACACTTGATTTGGTTATTTTGAATATGTCCTGCATGGTATATAACATTGATTGTTCTCAATGTCTGAATTTGATTGCTATCAGTTTTAGCTGGTCCACCGCACCGTGGAGCATTGTCCAGCGAGAAATCTCCAGCATGAAACTTTGCAGACCACCTTTGACACATTTGATCAGTCATAGCACCTTCTCCACACGCTGCACAAATCTTTTTTTCTGTGTTTCAGTTGTGTTTTTACCTTTCTTGAAATAAAGCATAATATGCCGAAAAAATTGCTTATTCCATCTTCAATACTAAAATGGCTACACAGAAATTTACCAATTTTGATCTTTTTTTTTAAATGCACGCTGATACTACAACTGTCAATACAGTCTAACAAAGTTGTTTCAAATGACGTTAAAGACAACTGAAGCACTCCTAGAGCCACCTTACAAGAAAAAACAAAGGAACTTTTTGGCCAACCCAGTAGTAATTGCTTGTGGAATCCAGAGGATTAACATGAGATGAGGCACATGAGGGGCCTGCCGAGCCTGCCGGGCCTGCGGGGTGGTGAGTGCGCAAATGTTAGGGCGCAGCGGGCAGTAGGCACTCTAGGCACTCGGCACAGTTTCGCCGTCACCCTCGTCTGTTTGAGGTTTGTGCTCTTGTCATAGCGTGTCACTCAGATGACTTTTACAGAGTTTGACCTTTAGGTTTGTCCCCTTGTTTCTTATCCCAGGCTGTCCTAGAACCAAGATTCTCAGCCTTTGGTCACTGAGAGCCTTCTTTTTGGGTTCTCTAGATTTTGCTTGGTAGAACAGGTTTGTTGTTACACAAACTTTTTTAGTGTACCTGTGACTGAATTGTCACTTGGATTATATTCAAAGAGGGAGTAATTTTATTTTTCACTTGTGGTTTTAGAGTTTTGTGGCATTAGAGTAGTGGCTTGGTATTTTCGTAATAATGGGAATTAGTTATTTTTAATTCGTGTTTACAATTTGATTTTCTTTGGATATTTCCTTTTCTGTTTTAAGATAATCACCATTTTCATACTTACCTTTTCATCAAAAGGATGATGCAGAACTAATCTCTTGAAATTTGTAGACTTTTTTCATTGAGTTATCAGTGTGTCTTCACTGTAAGGTCTGAAATAATGGGCTGTAATAAACTTGGTGTCAGGTTATTGGAAATATGAATTAGGTGGTATTTTTAGTCCACTGAAAGCTGTGGAGTTTAGATTGGCATTTGAAGAAGGGCACGGAATGAACTATTACTTTTCGTCTAGTCTTAGTTTATGAAAGGTGGTACTGGTCCGAGTGCTGTGGGAAACAGCCTGTGAGCAGTTCATGTATGACCCACTGTGGAGGCCTTCGCGGGGGCCGGTAGCGGGTAGTATTTGGGCTTAGCTTTGAAGTATGGGTAGAATTTGGGTGTGAGAATGGCATGGAGACAGGGAAACCTGGAACATATGTGAAGGATGACAGTTCATGTGCCAGTTGCACCAAAAAGATACACAGAAAAGTATTGGACAATAGTCTAGAAAGGTAGAATATTTTGAATTTCTAAACTAGAAGTTCAGACTTGTTTTCTAAGCAGTAGTAAGGTGGGTGGGGGAGAGAGGATGTCATAGATTCATAGTTTTAAAGCTGGTATAGGACCAGAAGTAACTCAGAGAAGCTTTTCAGTTCTTCTGAAGTCTGCTCAACAAAGGATTTTTTCCCCCCTGAATTTTGCAAAGTAATTAGAAGTTGGTTTTATGAAGAATAATTTGAGAGTGGTATGTAGGTTAGTTTTATGTAATCTTAAAGCATACATACCAATTTATAAGAGGCTATTGTAATAGTTGAAAAAACGGGAACTAAAGTCCTAAATTAGCGCTGGCCACTGCGTCTGAGTTGGTTGGAGTGTTGTCCCATAACCAGGTTCAATTTCCAGTCAGGGTTTATGCCTAGGTTGCGGGTTTGGTCCCTGGCCAAGATGCGTACCATCCCCAGTTTGGGTGCATACAGTATCTGGTCTGGGCATGTATGGGAGACAACAGATCGTCGTTTATCTCTCGCATCACGTTTCTCTCTCTCCTGAAAAGATGTCCTTGGGTGAAGATTCTTAAAAAATTAAAAAACAAAAGTCCTAAATTAGAATGATGCCTGCCAAAATAAGTAAGGTTTGTAGTGTGAGTGTATGGTTGTGAGATTTTTTTTTTCTTTGCTTCCCTAGTAGATTGAGATCTAGGATCATGAATTTATTTATTCATTATTCCTAGCACCTTGGCAGAGTGCTTGGCACGTAGAAAGTGCTTAGTAAATATTTGTTGAATTAATGATTCTATAAAGAAAACTACCTTAAAAGGTTCAGGTGTATTGAATTGCTTTTGGGTTTTTCTTGCTTTTTCTTCTATGGAAACCTGATTCTGGGTCATGAAGGAAAGACTGTTTTGACCACTTCATTGGTGTAATGTGCTAGGCCTTACACAGGTCGCTGGGAGATACGAACTGCTTGGGAATGAGATGCTGTAGTAAATGAATGAATGATGTGCAGAGGAAAGAGCAGTGAGCTTGGGTTGTGCCTCTGTTGAGAAGGGCTTCCAGGGCTCTCACATGTGACCTGAGTGGGCTTGGAGGGTGGGTGGGCGGTGAGGGTGAAGGTCCTCCTTGGTGAAGGGATTAGCATATATTGAAACACTGTGTCTTAGCAGTAGGTTTGGTCTAATTAACTTAGGACTTAATAGGGTGGTATGTAAGGGGCTGAAGCTGAGTGAGAAAATTGTTGGCTAAGTCTAGGTTATAAAGGACTTTGAAGTTTGGACATTAGGTAGGTGGACAGGAAGGGCTACTGTAGGCTACTAAGCAGGAAAGGACATGAGCATCTGTCAGGAAGATGGATGTAGAGGAAGTCGTTTTAAATTTAAGGCTGAGAAGTGAGGAGGGTCTAAATTAAGTAGCTTTGAGAATGGAGAAAATGGGTTAAAAACCCTGAAGATGTAAAAAGTCAGTCATATTTAACGAAAAATTGGTAAGACCTATTGAAAAATTGCATTGGGAAAAGCAAATTGGAACCAAGGTTAATGTCACTACCTTTTCATACATACCCTGACTCGTAGGGTCTTTTTGCACATGAGTTTTGCTTCCCTTTTTCCGCTGCCCCTAATGTTTGGGAAAGAAATACAGCACAAAGAATGGAGGAGAAGATTTTAAAAGCATGTAAAGGAAAAGAGATATTAAATTGAGCATTTTATTTTGTTAGTTGAGATTGGTTTTAACTCAACCTCATTTTCCTTTGGAAAAAATCTGGGTAATATAATTAAAATAGATTATTTAACCTCAGAATGCCTTTCAACAAACACATTTTTGTACATAGCCTAAATAACATGACTGCACAATCATTAATATTGTCAGTAGGAGCTAACTATGAAATGTTTCTCTAACTCCACAAAATGTCCTTTATTGCTGATATGTGGATCTCATATAGGGGTTATTCATTACATCTGATGATATCTCTTGATTTTTTTCAAATCTAGAATAGTCCTGGCACTAGCTTGTTCAAGTCAGCAGACCAGTTATCCTGCAGAAAGTCCCGCAATCCCATTTTGTCATACCACTTCTTTGGTGTCATCGTAAGCATTGTTGATGTGTACTTCATATTCCCTCACATCAAGAGATAGCAGTATCTGGATCTCCCCCCAGTAGCTGTTGCAAAGATTGTTGAAGAAGGTAACTATTTCTCCCTTGAACGTTTTCTACCTTATGATCAGAAAACAGTCTGGGTGGTGGTGTTACCCCAGTGATACCCCAGTGATTTCGTCTTACAGTTTAAACCCAGTGTATAGTCCTTGCTTTAAGAAGAGTCCCTAGGAATTACAAAATGATGTTGCTTTTTTAAAAAAATTCTTACATTCTTCATTTATTAGCTGTCATTCCTTTATAAGAATGTCATTCTTTTATAAGTAAAGTCATTCTTTTCCTTCAACTGAGGCTATTTGATTGCTCTGAAATGCAGTACCTGCTGAAAGAATAAACACATCTTTCTTAAGTTATCGATCGTCTTAGTTTAATAGCTGCCACAGTTTTGGTGGCTGATTTGTGCTTACAGCCTTTCCTTCGCTCCTGTCCCTCCCCACTCTGGCTTTCTCCTTGCCTTGATTACTGCATGTGTCTTCTGCTGCTCATACATCTTTTGCTTCACTGCCAGCCGTTGTCTGCAACACAGGTACTGAATTAGTGTTTTTAATTATGTTATAATTACAATTCTTTTTGCTCAAATTGTCACGACTTTGGCCAGTGAGAGCCCCTTCTAGCTGGCTTCTATGTCCTGTTGACATGACATGATGACCCCATTATACTTACCTCTTTGGCACTAAAGGAAGTCCCAGGCTCATTTTATAAAATTCCTGCCCCAAGCTTATAATTGGCCGTTTTGCAAGGAAATTACTTTGCTTTCTTAATATTAGAGATCAAAATCAAGGATTAGGAGTGCTATTGTTCTAGAGGTAACATTGCTTCTAGAACATTTCCCTGGCTACCTAGAAACAAAAAGTCATGAGTTTATGTTTATATTCTCAAGTCAGTGTTAGTATTGGTGTTATCATTTAATTTTATTTATTTATAAATGTTCCCTTACCCTGAAAATCGTGGTTCCTAACATTATTTACTCGCTCATTCCTACAACGTGAAGTAATTCAATGTAATACCAATTGTTTACTGAACATCCTTCTTTCACAGCTGCATGATTTTCCATAGTATGGCTGTACAGTAACTGATTTCACCACATGTTCTCACTGATGGTGATCGAGAGTCTTTGCAATTTTTGTCATAAACAGTGTTTATTTACAAAAAGTGCATGGGCTGTTTGTTTTCTTAGTAATTGCTTGTCTGAAAATGCCCTTTTGTTTGTCTTCACACTTGACCAAGTTTTTGAGTATAGAATATTTCTTACTTGAGATAAAATATACATGAAATGTATCATTTCAAATGTACAGTTTGAGTTTTGACGACTATATAGACCAATTTAAACCACACCTCAGTTAAGATATTGAATATTTTCATCACTCCCCATAAGGACACTCACTGTTGTCACTACAAATTCGTGTAAATGAAATATCTTTTGGGTCCCTTCCATTCAGTATAATATTTGAGATTCTCATATATGTGTGTTATATCAACAGTTCTTGCTTATTGCTAAGCAGTACTGAGTTATGTGGCTGTATCACAGTCTGATCACCCTTTCACTGCTGGTGGACATGGGGAGTTTTCAGTTTTTAGCAATATGAATAAAGGTGTTGCGGATGACATTTATATAAACGTCTTTTTGGCCAGACGTTATTATTTCTTTTGGGTAAATACTTAAGGGTAGATTCGCAGAGTTACTGGGTAGGTGATTACTAGCATAGTGTTACGGTAATCTTTTTTTTTTTTTTTTTTTTTTTTTTGCTCTTTTGTCTTTTTTGCCTTTTATGTTAGTAGGAAATATGGTTATGTATTCTGTGAATTGCCATTTATTTTGGTCTCAATCTTGTTTTAGAGATTCTAATATTCAGATACTTATATTTTTCCTGTTAGGTTTACACTCTACCTTTTTATCTCAATTTGTCTTGTCTCATATTACTTTATTGGTTGTTTTTGTTTATGAGTTTTGTGTTCTTTAGTACAATAAGCACTTTGTGTGTGGAATATTTTTCTGTTTCTGTGGTATTTTGTTTTTGTGGTAGTGATTTTTGTATAGTCATTATGCTGTGACTGCTCTGTGTTGATTTGCTTTTTATTCAGTTTTGGTGTGGACGGGTTCTTAGGGACCTCGTTTTGAAGGTTAAATGTAGATGGGGTGGGTGAGAGGCAGGCTGCGCGGACCTGTTGGCTGTGGGCAGTTACGATGGGTGATTTCAGCTCTGGTTTTTGTCATTGAGTATCGTATTCCCATGGGGAACATTGAAATATTTGTCCCCAATTTTGATTGAACATAAGTTTGATTCCTGACAGAAATACAGACCAGAGGCTGTTACCCGCTTTCCGTATGCTGCTGCCTCCCGCAGCTGTTCCTTTCCTCTTCCTCCTAGCCAGAGGATGGTTAAAACAGGTTTAATTTAAGGGCTGTGACGAGGGAACTATTCATCTGTTTAGGGCCTTTATGATGGAGGTCTTCATTCCAGTCTGCTTCCTTAATTGTTCCTGTCTTACTCCTTTTCTCTTTACCTGAGAGTCTGATAAATTCCCCATAACCCCACCCGCCTGTGAATCCTGCCCCAGCCCTTCACTGCGGTGTACCTGGGTGCGTGTGCTTGCGCGCCCCCCACCCCGCCCCATTTCTGGAACGGTGAGCAGAGACTGTGGGTTCCTGACATTCTTCCCTGTTGTAGAGGATGCTCTTTTCCGAGTTTATGGTATGCAGTTAGTCCACCCTCAGTTTAAATACTCCATGATAGTCCTTTATTTGTTGTGTTATGATTTGCAAATCATCTTTGCAACACTAACTTTCCCAGAGTAATTCTGTATGTTTAAGCCATTTCATAAAATATTTAATTATGAAACATATCTTTCTGTGCTGGTAAATACTGTCCTGTGTTTCGTCAAGATAAGTAATTGTTCTAGTAATGACTTTCTCTGAGACCTGGAAGGGGATGGTTCCCTGCTGCCAGGATCAGTGGTGTTCTCTGGCGCTGGATCAGAGGAGGAGGAGGCTGACTAGTCAGGTGCTGTACACCTGCTGGCTCTGGCCTAGCTATTTTTAAAAAGTCTTTTGTAATTCTTGACCGTTTTTGGAAAACTTTTATTCTTTTTTTTAGATGATAATGTACAGTGACACACTGTAGTTTTTAGAAAGTAAGATCTGCTTTGTTGATTTCAAAACCTTGGGGGGAAATCTCAAATTATGTGTATTCTTTTTGCAAGCCGGTGCTCAGTCCACTGAGCCACACGAGCCAGGGCAAATTATGTGTATTCTTACATCCTTTTCTCTACCTAGTCTCCTGTGCTGTGGTTTTTCAGACTCCCAGAAAAATGAGTGGGGTTGTGCTTCTTGTACTGCCCCTCAAAAGAGCTTGACTGTCCAGTTTGTTGCCATTACTTTTATTCTAACGCATTTCCCCCCTCCCCCTTCCTAATCTCCACTCTCAGGGATTTGGGAAACAGAAAAAATCTCACTGCTTTCGAGTTTAGAGTAATGGCCCATCTCTTAAATGTTAAGACCACCCATCTCCTGTTACGAAAAACAAAGGAAGGGAGTGATTGGCTGCTGAGGCGGAAATCATGTCTCTAATGGAATGACTTCAGGTCCCGGGCCTGGTTTTCAGGTTTCTTAGTTCGGTGACGCTTTTTCTGATTCTCAGAGCTGTGATCACACTCTGGATATTGGTTCACACTAAGCTCACATGATGTTGGTAAATCAGACTTGGGAACTTTCAATAAGAAGTCAAATTGATTAACGATAGGACCTAAATACCTCAGCTGGACAGAGTAATTTCTTCATTATTAAATTCTATTTGGAGAAGCCAATAAAGAGCAAATGGTTGTTTTGTAATTAGAATCTAATCAGAATAATGGCATTTGGGTGATCTTAAGGAATGTTATCAAATTCTGGTAGCCTTGCACAGTATTTTATATTTTCTGGGTTATTACTGGTGTAGTCCTATCATTCAGAAAGGGCACTTGATTCAGCCAGTTGCCCTCTAGACTGAATGGGAACATTTCTTGACTGTGTAGTTCTCCATGTTAGGTGTTTTCTACCAGTCTGTAAATTCAGTTGTTGTAATTCTATTCTAAAGGAATTAACATAAGAAGACAGTTTCTAACAAAACAAAAACTAGTGCTATTTCTTGTGCATATGATTCTTCTCACCATTTATAGTCTTTTTTCAAGCAGCTTTTTAGGATGGCTTTCCTCCTGCATTTTGACTTCATGGTCAAAGTCCATTTCTGTGTTTGAAAAATAGCACTGTCTCCCACCAGTAGGGCATAGCATAGCATAAAGATAGTAACTAACTTTTTTTCCAATTATTTTTATTGTGGGAAAATACATAACATAAAATTTAGTATCTTAGTATTTTTAAGTGTGATGTCAGTGTTAATACATTCATAATGTTGTGCAACCATTACCATCTTTATAACTTTTCTTGTAAAACTGAAACTCTATACCCAGTTGACAATAACTTCCCCCCTCTCCGAGTCCCTGGCAACAACCTCCATTCTACTTCCTGTCTGATTTTGACTATTCTGGTACCTCCTTTAAGTGAAGTCATGCAATAGTTGTCTTTTTGTGATTGGCTTATTTCACTTACAAAGTAGCTTTAGCTTTTTAATCAGACACATTTGAAGCCTGATTCTGCTACATCCCAGTCTTGTAATCCTGCTAAAATTGCTTAAACGTTTTTGGGCTTCAGGTTTCTCTTGGTTTAATGTAGTTAATTCCAACTCTGCAGAAAGAAGTAGCAAAAGGACTGACTCTAGAGAGATCAGGAGAAAAGATATCCTGGAAACCAAGTGAACTAAATGTTTCTAGGAGGGAGCAATCATCTACATCAAGTACTGATCATCAGATAAGTAAAAGGCGGTCGGAGAAATGAACTTTGGCTCTAACAGCGATTTTCAACTGGTGTGCCTCAAGGATGTTTAAAACATGCAACACCTGACTATTTAGTCAGGGACACTGACCTCATTTTCCTTAGATTATTAAAAAAAAAAAAATGACAATAGCCAACACAATAGCCATCAGGTGTGACTAAATCAAAATTATAACCTTTTTTTTTTGGTCAGATAGGCAAAAAGTATAGCATGTATTTTGGTGTGCTGCAGAACTTAATAATTAGTGACATGAGTGTCATGAGATGAAAAAGGTTGAAAATCACAGGGATAGCCCTGGCGGGATCGCTCAGTTGGTTGGTATGTTGTCCTGATGTGCCAAGGTCACAGGTTCAATCCCCAGTCAGGGCACATACAAGAATCAATCAGTGAATGTATAAACAAGTGGAACAACAAATTGATGTCTATCTCTGTCTCCCCCTCCCTCCCTCCCTCCCCTCCCTACCTCTTTCTAACAAAAATTTTTTTTAATTCTCTGGGATATAACAGTGTGAGGTAACTGGTTTTCTTCTTGACACTTTTGGTGTAATGTTAAGAGCATGTGCTGATGTGAATGGGTTTAACTGGGGGAAGAGGACTAGGAGACAGTGAGTATGCACGGCTGTTGAGGAATTTTTTGCTTATAAAGAGAATGAGAGAAAAAAGTGCTGTAACTGGAGGGAGAAATGGGGTTAAGACTTTTTTATTTTTAAATAGAGGAAGTAATACCATGTATGTGAAGAGAAGTAAAAAGTTCAGCATGGAGGGAAAATTTGGTGTTGGAGAAAACTGCTGAGCAATGTCCTTGAACAGGCAAGAGGCGATGGCGTGGGATTATGTGTCAAGAGGGCAGGCACTTTGTCCCGAGTAAGACAGCATAGATGGGCGTAGGTCGGAGTTCATACGAAGGCCTCTTCTGGTTTTCTGTTTAATGAGAAAATGGAAGAGCCGGAAGATGGAGGAATGGGTGCTGGAGACTTGGAGAAGACATACAGGACAAGGGGCTGGGAGAATTTATAGGATAACTTCTGTTCAGTTTTAAAGAATCCTTTTGAGGGAAATGATCGCTGATTGGCTCTCTTTAAATTCACATGGTGGTAGGTTTTTCTCCAGCTGTGTTTAACTGTGTAGGTACTCAGGTAGGTGGAGAGTTGGCTAAGGTGGGTTATCAGTCATCCAAATGAATATGGTGAAATAAGACTGAGCAAGGAGTTTGGGGGAATATGGAAGAGAATGAAGTTTCATTCCACCTAAATATTTCAGAATGTGTCTATAACAGATAAGGATCTTTTTAAAAAGCCAACTAGTGAAATGAACAGTAGTCCTCTACTATCAACTTACATTTAGTTTTTCAGATTTGTCTGATTTTTCAGAGATGTTTTTAATGGTTACTTTGTTTAATCCTTCATTTCTCCAAGAAGCTCCTAATGGTTAGTGGTATTTAGAGATCATAATACGAGTGTCTACTTTTTCTTTTTCTTTTTCTTTTTCTCTTTTTTAAAGACTTTATTTATTTTCAGAGAGCATGGAAGGGAGGGAAAAAGAAACGGGGTGGGGTGAGGGGAGAAACGTCAGTGTGTGGTTGCCTCTCACGCGGCCCTGGCTGGGGGCCCGGACCGCAGCCCAGGCCTGTGCCCTGACTGGGAATTGGTTTGCAGGCCAGCACTCAGTCCGCGGAGCCACACCAGCCAGGAGGAGTGTCTGCTTTTAAAAAGATCTTTTTATTTTTAGTTACTTGATTCTTCATAATACTTACTGGTTTCTTTTCTTAATTTAACAGGCATGCCCAAAGAAAAATACGAGCCCCCTGACCCTCGGAGGATGTACACAATTATGTCCTCTGAGGAGGCAGCAAATGGAAAGAAGTCACACTGGGCAGAGCTTGAAATAAGTGGTAAGACATGGAAACATAAATTTATGGCATGGAAATTGAGACATGGTAGAAAATTAAGTTTTTAATGTCAGTACACAAAAGAAGCAATGTTATATTTTACTAGTGCTTATTTATCTTAGAGGCAGGGAGGTCCAGTTGGAAGAAGATGGTTTGATTCAAAGTTCAAAATCCATTCATTGCTTATTCTCTCAGTATCAGTGTCCTTTTATAAAATCAGAATAATAGTATCAAGGATGAAGTGAAAATAACTCATATGAAATACCTCGTGAGCAAAGGTTTGTTCTGATAATTAGTTCCCTGATAGAGTAGGATTGAGCTTTTGCATTTCCAAATTACAGATTTCTATTGGGTAAGAACTACTTGTTCCAGCGTAAGTTCTGAGATAGATTTGTTTCTCCTCACTTTCTTCATTTGCTTTTTTTAATCTGAGTCTTTGAAGACAGCCCTATTCAGAAGCAAAATCTCAAGGCACATCTCAAAGTTCCCCTCTCCCTTTCGTGCTTCCTAGACATTTTCTGAGAAATATATGAGTCCCTAGAGCCACAGAATATCCTGCGCATCCCTGCCAAGGGGCATGCAGCCCTTTTTTAGTTTTTAGTACTTCAGAGGTGGTAAAGGGACATTACTTCTGGAGCAACCAGTGCTAAACGGGTTTTGTGTTACTGTTGGCTTAATATGGCTCCCCATATTTCTCTGAAATATTACAGAGCGAGTTTTCTCTTTCTGTCTTTGATTTTCTTTTTTTAATGTAAGGCAACAAACATCTACTATGTGTAAAACATTTTCTCCAGGTGTCATACTAGGCATATGGAAGATACATAAATGAAAAAAACAGTTCTTGTCATTCTGGAGCTTATGGCATATTAAGGAGTGAGAAGAGGGGAGTGTACTAGTATAAATAACTAACCGACAAAATAAAACTGCCAGGTCGAGGTAGAAGAGTGCTGTACAGAAAGCAAAAAGGAAGTAATGATAACAATATTCTTCCCTTGCCAGCTCAAAATTTCCGGTTAACCAGTGAGTGAGTAAACCCAAAGTCCCTCCCCTGCAGCCATAGAGGTTGGTACCCACGTGGTCTCCCGGTTTCTCCTGATTCTTAGACCGCTGGCCTTAATTAAGCTGGCCTCAGTTTCATAAAGTAAGGGTGGTGGAGAGTGACACTTCTCTCTTCTTTCCCTCCTCCTGTCATATTTGACTTTCTGGTTTTGGGGAACCCTAAGAGAAATATACTCTCTCATTTACCAGTTACCTTCAAATCATAGGCAGACACACTCCCGCTTTGCCCTTTTAATTTCTGCAGGACCAGATTTAACCTTATGTTTCTCTTTTTCTCAGCCTTATTAGCACCTTTTGAATTGCAAGTTCTTTGCATGTAGTATCGTTTCCCCTTAAAACATCAGGATAAGCTAGAGAAATAGGTGATTTTGACATCAGTGTTCTCTGTTTACTCTGAACTTTGGAAAGTAATCTTTATACAGGATGGGAAGGAAGAGGAGCGAGTCCTCTAAACCAAATAGCCTTATCTTTACCAAGTGTAATAGAGGATAAACTATGGGTTGAGTAAGTGTGAAACAGGACCTTGTAGTTCATAAAGCCACTATCGAGGAAGGTTACTTTATAGTGTTTTTAAAAAAGTTTTTATTAAATTTATTGGTGTGATATTGGTCAATATATTTATATGGGTTTCAGGTGTACCGTTCTCTAATCCATCATATGGGTATGGTAGTGTGAGTTCACCACCCCAGGTCAGGTCTCCTTCCATCACCGTTTATCCCCCACTTTACCCTCTTCTGCCCTCTTTTCCCTCTGGTAATCACCATACTATTTGTGTCTATGAGGGTTTGTTTTGTTTTGTTTTTGCTTAATTCCTTCACCTTTTTCACCCAGCCTTTCGCCTCACTCCCTTCTGGCAGCTGTCGGTGTCTATAAGTCTATTTCTATTTTGTTAGTTTATTTTGTTCATTAGATTCCACAGAAGATTATAATCATAAGGTATTTGTCTTTTCCTGGCTGGCTTATTTCACTTAGCATAGTATTCTTTGGGTTCATCCATGCTGTCACAAAAGGTAAGGTTTACCTTTTTTTTTTTTTTTTTTTTTAATGGCTGAGCAATATTCCATTGTATAAATGTACCACAGCTCTTTTATCTACTCATTTACTCATGGGCACTTAGGCTGTTTCCAAATCTTGGCTATTGTAAATACCACTGCAATGGGTACATGCATCTCATATATTCTTTTGAATTTGTGTTTTGGGTTCCTTGGGATATATTCCCAGAAGTTTCACCGCTGGGTCATAAGGCAGTTCCATTTTTAATTTTTTGAGGTACCTCCATACTGCTTTCCACAGTGGCTGCACCAGCCTGCATTCCCACCAACAGTGCACAACGGTTCTCGTACAGTCTTAGTCCATAAAAGCTCCTGTGTGTAGCAGTTGTCAAGACTGAATTCATTTCATGCTAATAAGACAGTTAATTTATATGTGTGCAGTAGCATCAGTTCCTTGAGATCTTGTAATATGAAGTTCTAGGAGTCTGCGGCCATTGACCCTGGACCTGAAATTATCTCATAGGCTTCTTTGGTTCCGGGGGAATGAATGGTTGGTTCTTTGTGCCATTTGGAGGTAACCAGCTAAGCCAAGTGACTGTTAATCATTCACTTTTAAGGGAGCCTTTTTTATTGTAAAACGAGACACAGAGAAAGGAAACCACACAAAATATATTAATGAATTATTATAAGGCCAGGAGCCTCGTAACTACTACCCAGGTCAAGAATTAGTTTTCCTCCCAACCTCAGAATCCCCTCTGAATGCCACAGCCCGCCACAGCCCCTCCCTGCTCCCACCAGTAACCATTATCCTGACTTTTATAGTAACTACAGCAAATGTTGGACACGTACGCATTATGTTTTAGTGCCCACCCCCTTTTTTATTTGGTATGTCTTAATTTGCAGGTTCCCCCTCTATCCTTTTCCTTAAAAAATATCTGTGAGCCTGGGAGGTTTGCCTTGTTGATTCCTGCAGTCGGTATCTAGCTAACTGAGGATACTCACGTAGTTCACCATGTTTCTCATCTTCAGCGTTTCCTGCAAATAAGTAGCTGGATGTAGAGGCTTGATCAGGCTCAGGTGGGAGCCCTTTGGCAGGCAGGACTGAAGGTGGTGGTGTGTAGGAGTGAAGGAGGTGTTGTGCCTTTTCCCCCCCTTCTTTTAGGAAGTTTGTGAATGCCTGCTTTTCTACTGATAATTCACTGCCTAGAGCCATTAATTCCTTGAGGATTGCGAAATAATGATATTCTAATTGTGCGATTTCTTTTTATTAGGAAGGCTGCATCTGTAAAGAGAAGCTTTCCCCTATTAGTGCTCTTAAACATTTGGGCTTCAAACACTTGTTGTGAATTGTAATTACTCTTATTTTAATATTTAAATTGTCCTGTTTTTGGCTAACAGGAGAGCTGCTGAAAAATGATTTCTGAGTTCTTTGACACACCCTCGCTGTCTTTGGTAGTTTTCTTGCTGTCTGGTATAGCAGGATTTTCTTGGTTCACCTTGGCTCATTTCCTGCTTCAAAATGATTATCTTTTGTTTCCAAGAAACCTTTCTTTTTTTTAAGTTGGGAAATGCTATTTCAAGATCATATCTGTTGCTGGGGATAATTGTTGCTACTGGGTTGGTCATTTTTTTTTCTATTTTTTCATTCTGTTCACTGAACAGAGCTAGGATATATGGCATTTTTTTGGCATGTAGATGTCCAGTTCTGAAACCATTTGTTGTAAGACTTTTCCCCATTGTATTGCCTTTGCTCCTTTGTCAAAGATAAGGTGACCAGCCCTGACCAGTGTGGGTCAGTTGGTTGGCATCCTACCACAAAGTAAAGGGTTGCCGGTTCAATCCCGAGTCAGGGTGCATGCCTGGGCTGCATGTTCAGTCCTGGTCGGGGCACGTATGAGAGACAACCAATCAGTGTTTCTCTCCTGCGTTGGTGTTTCCCTCCCTCTCCTCCTCCCCCTCTTCCCCTCTAAAAATAATAAAATCTCTTTAAAAAAAAGATCAGATGACTATATTTGTGTGGGTTTATTTCAGTACTTTCTACTCTGATCCAGTGATCTATTTAACAGTTCATTCATTAGTAACACACTGTCTTGATTGCTGTAGCTTTAGGTAAGTCTTGAAATGGATACTGTTAGTCCTCCAACTTTGTTTTTCTTCAGTTTTGTGTTGGTTATTTTGTGTCTATTGCCTCCCTCTATAAACTCAGAATTAGTTTGTTGATAGCTCCAAAATAATTTGCTGGGCTTTTAGTTGATACTGTATTGAATCTGTAATTAAACTGAGAATTGACACGAGTGCTTTTATCCATGAACATGGAGTATTTTTCCATTTACTCAGTTCTTGAGTTCTTTTCATCAGTTTCACGAATTTCCTCATGTTGATCATGTGCATAATTTGTCATTTATACCTCAGTATCTCATTTATGAGTTGTTAATGACATTGTGCTTTTAGTGTCAGATTTCAGTTGCTTGATGCTGCTACACAAGAAAGTGATTTTGAATCGTTTTTTTTTATTTATTTGTGATTTTAAAAAGTTTCCTCCAACTTTTCTAAAAATATTTCCTTTTGCAGTTATTCATTATGAAGTTGTTTGTAGTTTGATTTTCCTTTACTGAGTTTTTCTAAATCTTATGTTCTTTTAGTGCTTTTATCATTTTCTTACTATATTTTATCTTACTTTGGAAATGTATGTAATAGCTTTCTGGGTGTGTTGTAGGTCTGCTTTTGTTTGTAGGGAGTTATTCCGGTCTTCATTCTTTTTTCTTAAAATAACTTCTTAAAATGTATAACTTCTATGAAATTTGACCTTATAACTTTCCTGTTTTTGTTTTTTTTTTTTTAATTTAGTTTTCTGAACTAGAAGGTATGATCAGGAAAGTTTTCTAACTACTTTAGCTTTCTCTTTGTTTCTTCTCCTTTTTTTCATTATATGAGACTTTCTGGTTTTGTTCC